TTCTCTTGATTGGTCCTTTTGAGGTAAAACATTAAGCTAATTCTAAATTATAAGCAATTCAAATTTTTGTAGATAAGCTCCTGTAAGAAGGAAAGGAAAAATTTAATCTGTCTCTGAAACTCAACCATGGTTTTAAATTTCCATTGATCACTTGACTGAGAAGACTAAATGAAGTCTTACAAGTTTCCAAGCCATTAAAATTAGATCATGTGAAGCTCTTCACAGGGCAATGTGAGCTATAATCTGCACAATTAATAATGGCTGATCCTTATCTCCACTGGCTACAAGTTATGGTACAGACAATAATGCCTCTATTCAAATTTTATTGGGAGCCAAATACCACTCTAGTTTTTTTGCTCATACTTTGTATTCTACTGTTGAAAATCAATTAGCTCTCTGTGTTTATCATATATTGATTTAAAGTGAAAGATTCTGAAATACTGATTGGATTTTTCAAAAAATATAGAGAAATCCTGACAAACATTATACCACATTGAAGAAGCTCTTGTACTTTTTTCTTGTCACTGCTTTCAATCAGACCACACAGTCCACCCAACTGATTCAAGAATTCAATTCTTTCTTCATAACCACATCTTTCTTGCCACATTTCTGAGGCCATATAACCACACAGTCCACCCAACTGATTCAAGAATTCAGTTCTTTCTTCATAACCACATCTTTCTTGCCACATTTCTGAGGCCATATAATCACATTGCGGAACCATCAGAGCACAAGATTAAACATCAATCATTGTTCTCAATCCAAGATCAAACAGGATTTTTTGGACTATAGTACTGGGTTGTCCACTACTCATCTATCAATTCTTATCTTTATCATGCTCTAGAAATCTTTCATCAAATTGAACTTGGTAAGAATTCATGTGTCTGCTTCCACTCCAGGTACACTGGTGAATAGAAATTCAAACTTATACCACCATGTTTTTTTTCTCCCATGATCTAAGGCCAGGTATAAAAAATGAAGAAAACATGTGTTTTGGCTTTAGCTGCAATTCTTATCAGCTTGAATTTTTTGCCAGGCTCCTGGTTTCATAGAAACTGTATTGGATAATGTGGAATGGAATGACTTACCTGGATTTCGGCAACAAACACAACAACAGATTGAAGGAGGATTGTGGGGCCAGTCACAATATTATCATCGTCAGAATAGCCCACACATTAATTTCCCCAATGTGGGTGTCACAGTTTCATATGGATCACGTGAGGGGATGATTTACATTACAAACCAACAGAACCGGCTCTTAGAATACCTACTGCTACATGAGGATGGATCTCGGTACTTGAACTTTTTAATCCGACCCAATAGCCAAGACATTGTTCCAGGGAATACGGCCACTGTCTGGGTTAGAGTCCCTAATGGTTGATTTTTCCTAGAAAACAAGAGATTTATTAGGGGGTATCAAATATAGGAAATCCACCATTAGAAACCAGTCACTTTTCCCAAAAAATATTTTTACATCAAAGGGCCCCAAAAGGGGTTAAATGAATAACCAACATGTTTAAGAAAGGGTAGATTTTTTCAAACCAGTCAATTAAATAATGGTGGATTTGGTTATATTTGATACCCCTATTCAATTCTATTTAGGTGGTAGCCTATATAATCAAATCCACCATTACTCAATTGGCAGGTTTCAATACACTGTCTGGGTTGAGGGTATCCCAGTTCAGCTGAGATACACTCAACCAAGTTAAAATTGTTTATAATTTAATTTTTCACTTGGGTGAGACAGCTTGAGTGCATCCTAGTTACCCAAAACTTAGCCAATTATGTTGGCAGTGCATACATATCTATCGCAAGTAAGGCTACCCTTATCCCATATGTTTCCATATGCAAGTATAAAAAAACTTGATCTATGTTTTATCTCATTATTGATTTGATTCATCTTGTCTCCATGATATGTTTGCTTCTTTTTTCCCACTTCTATCATTTGGGGATTTGTTGTAGGAGGGAACCTTGTGATTTTTTGGATAGCCTTAGGTGGCACTGAAAATCAAACTTTGCATGATTTATCAAATGATAAAATTAAATGTTTCCTGAACATGCACCATGGGTAATTGAGGGAGGAACAGTCACAGATGCATGATCTTAAATTCAGCCACCTGATTGAAACAAGTCTTCCCTGCCACTTATCCAATAGGGGGGTGGGGTATCAAATTCAAGAAATCCACCATTAGAAACTAGAGATGGTCTCCAGGTATTTGTTGCAGATACCCACCAGCGGATGCGGGCGTGCCATTTCCCCTGATTTTCTTCCAGCAGATACCCAGGTATCTCCACAGATAACCAAGGCCAATGGCCGGCTGGAAGGAAATGCTTCCAGCCGGCAAGAGTTACATGCACCTCACCAGCAACAACACTGGGTCAGCTACGCTAACTGTAGCGGTTAGCACAGCGTAATGTAGTGGAATTCTGCTCAACTTTAGCGTAGCATAGCAGAATTCTGCCACGTCCATGCTAGCGCTATGTGTGCAGGCCCTTAAAAAGGGCCCGCTATGCTGCGCTAACACGCTGGTTAGCGGTTTTCTGGCTGTGTAGAGGCAGTTAGTGTGGCTTTTCAGGCCTGAAGGGGGTTAGAAGTATGACTGTGGCAAGGCAGTCAAGTGGGGCAAATAGCAACACAACCTTGAATATCACTAGATTACGTTATGGTTCATGTATCTAGCTCTATGTTGTATTTCTTGTTCTCTCTCTCTTTTTTCCTTTTTCTTCACTCATCTGTCTTGTCATTGCCTTCACACCTAACTAGGTACTTAGTCTTCTTCTCTCTCTCCATCTGCTCACGTTGGCCTCCCATCATGGCCTCCTAGCTCACCGCTGCTGTCTGGTGTTTCTCAGGTTTGCATTTCTTCTCCTTTTCTTTTCCGTCTGCTTGTGTTTGGCCTTTCTATTTTGTCTACTCATCTGTCTTGTCATTGCCTTCACACCTAACTAGGTGCTTAGTCTTCTTCTCTCTCTCCATCCGCTCACGTTGGCCTCCTAGCTCACCGCTGCTGTCTGGTGTTTCTCAGTTAGCATCTCGTAGAGTCGCTAACTTTTTGCTAACACTATGCAAATTCGGCGCGCAAAAAGGACCGCCACACTAACGCTTTTTGGTCAAAAAGCATAGCGGCCCAGTGCTGCCAGCAAGGGGTGAGGTACATGTACCTCACTGACTGCCAACTTGAAGGGTTTCTCCTTCCAGTCGGCAAGGTACATGTACCTCGTTGACTGGAAGGATTTCTTTCCAGCCGGCAAGAGGTACATGCACCTAGCCGGTGAGGTACATGTACCTCGCGACTGCCAACTGGAAGGGTTTCTTCCAGCCAGCAAGGTACATGTACCTTGCTGACTGGAAGGAAACCTTTCCAGCTGGCAAGGTACATCCTTGCCAACTGGAAGGAACCCCTTCCAGCCGGTGCCTTACCAACCTTTTGAAGGGCAGGTATCCAAAGATACCCGCCAGTGGCTGCGGATGCGGTGGTGATTTCCCCGGAAAAAGCAGCCAAATATCCGGATGCGCCGGGGCTATCTCTATTAGAAACCAGTTACTTTTCTAAAAATGGAATTTTGCAGCCTCTCAAGGGGTTGAATAAAGAAGCAATAGGGGGTATCAAATATAAGAAATCCACAATTGGGAACCAATCACTTTTCTAAAATTAAAAGTTTACATCAATGGGCTGCCAAAGGGATTGAATGAAGAACCAAAATGTTTAAAAAATGGTGGATTTTTGCAAACCAGTCAATTAAATAATGGTGATTTGAATTTTGGTTGTATTTGATCATACCCCCTAATATGTTTGAAAAATGGTGAGTTTTTCCAAACCAGTCAATTAAATAATGGTGGATTTGGCTATATTTGATACCCCCTAGTATCAAGATGGTTGTGTTTGAATAGTATAATATATCTCAATTCAGATTTACTGGACAGCTAATTCTCAAATATTCACCATGTTTAACATGTATTTAATGGAGTGACAAGATAAAAATTTTGCTCATGGGAGTCTAATAAGAATCAGTACTGCCAAAATGAAAGATTCAGCAATTACCAACTTGTAAGAAGCTGAAATTGTATGGGGGGAATCAATTTTAAATCATCATGAATTGTTGGGTTTGTAAATGACTCAATTTTACAATTTGAGCACTCAAGCAGGGTCTTTAACAAGGACCAATTTTGAAATCTATAACATTACTGATGAGATTACTGAAATTCTTGTGTTTTGTTTATTCAATATCTTAAGCTCAGAAAACCTTAATCACAGAGCCATGCCAGTTTGGTTGCACACCAACAACAAGTTGCCAGTGCTGACTGCCATTGGAATAAAATAAATGAAAAGCCTCCTTCAGACTCATTGGGCACATGGTGGACCCCCCTGACTATTTAGTCTTTGTTTTGCTTTCTGTTTGGTAACTCCAGTAATGTGTGGTTTCATGAGTACCAGTATTAAAATCAGCCATGTGATTGATAAGGCTTCTTAACATGTCTTTGCCTCTTGCCTATCCATTATCAAAATGGTCTTGTTTGAATAATATGTTTCAAAACAGTTTCAGCTGACAGTTGATTAGCCTCAAATTTTCTCAATGGTACATGTGTAACTGCATGCCAGTATTTTCTTCTTGCTCCTGAAATTTTACTTGATACTTTTCCTGTTGAAATAACATATTCATGATCATATTTTTATTGTCTGTATTGAACTGAAAATCAAATGTCAGCTCCTTGCCCCATGATACACTGTTTCATAATAAAATTCTTGAAAAACTTGCATGTTTCATTCAATCCATAAATCAACAAAACCTAACACCATCTTGCACTTGTGGCTGAGCATTCTACCCTGTGCTTGTGATTTTAGTCAAAAAATCAGTTCATCAAGATGTGAGTCTTTGGTGCTTTCTTCAAGGTTTGATGTTTTTGACCCATTTCTGATGCATTGGAAGTACAATAATGTGGAGCAGCCACAGAAGCGAGTTAAACATCAACCCTTGTCTTCAATTTTATATCAAACAGGAATTTTCCATATTCCAGCTCTTAATTCATGTTATTGTGAGTTCCTAGATATATTTCATCCAATTAAACTTGGTCCAATTCTTGTGGACACTTACACTCCAGGCATGCTATTCATGTTGGAAATTTATACCACCCCAATTTTTGTCCTCCCATGATTTCACAACAGGTAATACTGTAGTCAGCTAGAAGAAAAAAATGAAGATCACTGGAATAACAACTGCGGCTACAATCTTGATTGGATTGAATTATTTCAAGGCTATATTTACACAAATGGTGATCCCTGAGGTGGACTGGGATGGGTCGCCTGAGTTCAAGGCAACAATTAAAGAATTGATCAACTCAGGCTCTTGGGGCAATTCACAAGAATACCATTTCCAGAACAACCCATCAACCATTGAATTTGCAGCTGGTGCAACGGTCTCACCTGGGCCCAATCCAAAACAAATTTCTATCACCAACAAAGGGAACCACAACTTAGAATACTTGATGAGAAGTCAGGATAGATCTAAGTACTTGACTTTTAAACTTGAACCCAACCACCAAGACTTAATTCCAGGGGATGCTGCCACTGTCTGGGTTAGGTTTTCGGAAGATGGTTAATAGTCTCTAGAAAGCCATATGAATTTGTTCCTGTGATGATTTTGAGACCATCTGTGTCCCTCAAAAATCTTTCTAATACTATCTTTCATCCCATGATGTTAAAAATCCCTTGCAGGAAAATTGGAAAATGTCTATTCAGTTCTATTGAATCTAACCATTCATTCATGCTTACCTTTTAGAAACTATATACAAGCATGTACCCAACTCAAACATAGTTTGTATTTGTCCACCTGCAAGTAAAAAATACCTCACCTGTTTTGATTTGTCTTACCTTATTTCACTTGACTGGTCTCCATCACACATGCCTTTATTTCATAAAGCTTTTCTCATCCATGAAGCTTACAGCTTATAAGGTCCTATTGTCACTTATGTAGACTTGATGGGCACTGAATACAGAAATCCATATGATTTATTATAAATACATATCAATGATCAAATGATGGAATTCAAAGGTTTCTGGACCACTAACAAAATCTAAGGGAAATACATTTTCAACTCTTTCCTGCAGCTAATTGAATCAAGATTTGCTTTTTGAATGTTCATCTTTACACAAAAATTTATATTGTGTCTTCCAACCACCTTGATTTTTGTTCATCTGCTCAGATGCAACATAAGGTCAAGAAGGACAAGAAACTGGCCATGTTAACTTGATCAATCTTTTGAATCAAGCCAACACAATCAAATATAGCCAAATTCACCATTCATTAATTGACTGGTTCGGGTTTGGAAAAATCCACTATTTTTTGAAAATGTTGGTTCTTTGTTTAATAACCCCTTTGGAAAATTAACCGGTTTCTAATAATTGATCTTTTATATTTGATACACCCTAATCACATTGTCAGGAGATATTATGATTTTGAACTTGGTTGTCAAGGTGGGATAGAATGATCATCTGGTATTTTCAAGATTTTCTTGTTGCTGTTGGATTCAGCCTTCTCAAATTGAAACATACACACAAGATCACAAAAAGTCATCCTGAAAACAAGACAGTTCTTTCTATATATATGTGCCAAGTGATGAGTTATCCAACAATAGATATGAATCAAAAACTTCTTCCAATAAGCATCAAGTAGTCTGGCGCCAGTAGTACATTCTTATGAAGGACTTGATACCATATTTGAACCACAAGAAAAATCTCCTCAAATAGGAAAAGGATTGGTTCATTGCACTAGTTACAGTACACCCTCAACCTAGCCAATATCACAGACTCATTTCTATAACATGGCCATAATGGATGATGGGGTGTTTGGATTTTGAGTACTGTACTTATAGACAGTTCTTATCAGGACTACACACAATTGACATTCATAAATCCATATTAAACCACTGTATCATAATCTGCTAACTCCCAAAAATTATGTGCCACCCAAACATCAATCAAAAGGGAGAACAAGTCACACAAATTTCCACAGAAAGTAGTTGATACCTAAAAGCTTTGTGAATCCACATTGAAATGATTCATGGATTTATGGATTTCAATCGTGAAAAAGATATAAAACCCAGTTAGTATATTGTGTTCTAATCACACCCAACTGTCAACTGAAGAGCCAAATTACATATTTATTTAGACAGATTAAAAAAAAAAAACAGAAAAAAACAAATAAATTAAAACAATCTACAAACAAATTTGTCAGAACAAATCAAATCAAAACAAACAAAGACAAGACCACACTTTGATTATGATTGTTACTACTACTAACTACTACTACCATTAAATAAGATCACAGACAGACACATTAGATTAGTTTGACTTGTCGTGTGTATAGAAAAGAAAAGAAAAAAACCTTGTAAACTATAAATCATTATCAAACAAACTCTTCTTCTTTTCTAGTTAAATCCACTTTTTCTTCAAATCAATTCATACAACTTTGGGGGTTTTTTTTTGAACATCATCACTCTGGTAAGGAAAAAGAAAAAGAAAATAAGTGCATCACAGTTATAACAAATAAGATATGCATAAAAAAAAAAAATGAAAGAAACATAAGAGGGAAGATTTTACATTGGCTTTTGATGTCGTGTCTTGGTCAAGGGGGAAGGGGAAGGGTGTTAAGAAAAAGAGGGAACTACAAAAAAACAATATCAGATTGCTCAGGTTCCGGTTCCCACTCGCCTTCTTCGAGTTCGTAATGAAGAAGCTGGGGGTTAGTCGGAGGAAGTTCTCGACAATTACTCTGAGTGATTTGTCCTTCTTCTTCTTCTTCTTGCGCATCTTCCTGATCCTCATTGTTTTCTCCATGGTCTTCTTCTGTCTCGTCATATTCGCCTTCCTCTAGTTCGTCCGCTTCCACTCGATCGTCTTGTTGATCAATCACCTCTTCCACTCGAGTTGCCTTCTGTATCTCGTCCCGTCTTTCATCATCTCGCACATCCACCTCTTCATCCACCTCCTCGCCCTCCACCACCACCTCCTCTTCCACATCTTCTTCTTCTTCCTCCTCTTCCTCCACATCCTCTTCTTCTTCTTCTTCTTCCGCATCCTCTTCTTCATCCTCCTTAACATCTTCCTCTTCCTCCTCCTCATCGTCTTCCTCCTCCTCCTCGTCTTCGTCTTCCTCTTCCTCTTCATTGTCACTTCCATGCATTAATAAGATCATCTCTCGGACCGATGGCGGCACTGTGACGCCTGGCTTCAATCGTCGGGTTGTCTTCTTCAGCGTCTCATCCAGGTCGGCCCAATTACTCTCATCCAAGGCGAACTTGCGATGTTTCCTGGTCAAGATATGCTGAGAAGAGAAACTTGTCCGTCAGACCTCCTCTCTCTCTCTGATCAATCCTCCCCCGCAGAGATCGGCTAGGAAAGCCTGATGGTCAAGGAGAAAAGCAAACTTACCTTTCGGAAATCCGAATATTTCAATCTACAGTTTTCGCAATAACCCGTCTTTGGTTCTTCATTCTTGGCAAGTCTTCTCAGATCGATTAATTCAAACCCGTTCCCAAGTTTGGCACGGACGCCCAATCCCCTCCTCTTTGACTTAGCCTTGGCGTCATCAGCGGCTTTCTTCTTGGCGATCATCGAAGAATCCAAAGACTGACATCTCTTCAACTTATTGATATGACTAGTCGGGTCGAGTTCTTTTCTGAGGGTCTGTAAACGGTCCTTTGAACTACCAGCCCCGATCTCTCGTTTGAGCGAGCTACTACCGATCCCAGGCGAGTTAAACTGATTGATTTCGAAGGTAGGACGTTTGCCAAGCGCCGCGAGTCGTTTGTCAATGAGCTGTCTTCCGATCTGAGCCGTCCTGACCGCACTAGAACGTGTAGAGGTAGCCGATGCGACATTGGAGGTCATTGTGACGCTGTTACCGGACGCGGCGAGGAAGACCCGGCCGTTGCCGCGGAAATGCTCAGGTGCGGTCTTGTTGATGTGGTCGATCTCTCGACATTCATTTTCATCATCATCATCATCATCAGGGTCATGCTCAGTAGTCTCCTGATCGGGCTGATGAACCGTCGTGGTCCGCGATAAGCGTCCAGACTGGCGGCGTTGTAGCATGTTCATGCTGACGGCCCGACGTAGGTTTTGCTGTTTGGCGGGCGGGGATCGGTCGCCGGGCTGTCTGTGGGATGGGCCGAGACAGTCAAGGGAGTTGGAGCGTTCGCGTGTATTGTTCTTCTGCCGTGCCGAGTCCTTCACACGCATCTCAAACATCTGCCGGATCCTGTTGCGGACGTGGAGGTAGGATTGCTTTGCAGTATGACGCGAGAAGGCAGGCTTGCCCTCGGTACCTCCCCACATGATCGGCCAACTGGTGGCCTCACGAGTCTTGGGACGTGTGTACTCTTTGACGATGATCGGTTTGTGCTCTTGAGTGATATCCTCGACCATGATGAACATCGCCTTGGGTCCGAAGTAGTAATAATCCGGACGTAGGGCGACTGGGTCGAATTCGTTGGTGTGTCCTTGTTGGGCTTCCTTGAGTAATAGAGAGGGTAAGGAGGGCTTGACCAACTGTTGCTGTTTGACGGGCGATCTTTGGTCTCCCAAACGATAGAGAACATTGAGTAATTCTAAGAAAGGGAGCAGGAGATTAATTCAGTGATCCAGAATGGGTTTGAAAAAAAAAAAAAAAAAATCTCCCGAGTTGAGTGGACTAACTTTCAGATTTCCATATCTTAATTTTGAGCTCTGTAGCTTTACGAAGCAAAGGATATGCACAATGAGTTGATTCGGCTGAAGCCTCCTTCTCGGGGGAGCAGATGGCGCTGAGACGTTTTGCGTTCCGACGAAGGCCGATAGCCGCCTGGCCGTTCTCCTTATTATTACGCGTAGGAGAGGGTAGACAGTATGCAGTGTTTCGTTTACGTGGTGATGGTGAGTGGGCTGAGAGGTTGGCTGGGGCTGGGAGATCGGTGATGAGGTGGGTGACCTCCTTTGAGAAGAATTGGTCGACACGCTGGAAAGAAGCCAAGAGGAGTTCAGATCAGAGTTTGTAGTTGTAGTGGGAGAGGATGAGAATGTTTTACTGACAGCACCCCATGCTCGTATCTTGAGTTTTAGATCTACGCTGGTGGATGGATCTAGTTGATGGAGGTAGAAGACAAAGCTTTTGATGGCGACCCTATACTTCTCTTGCCACTGGGCCATCTCGCGTTTGAGTTCATCCTTGTCCTTGATCGTCGGTTGTTGCTGTTGTTTCTCTCTTGGGGTTGGACGGGGGATGGTGTTTTGATTGGTTGATAGGGCATTCTGGGGAGTAGGATGATGGTGGATGGTTTGGTTGTTATGAGTTTGTAGTCTGGCTGTTCTGAGTGTTGGTGATTGGTTGGATGGGTTGAGTAGGTCGAGTGGGGTATTGTTTGATTGGTTTGGATGAGGGAAGATGAGGCCTGAGAGTGATTTTTTGATGGTTGGACGTTGCGAGTGATTCTTGGTGTTTTCAGTTGTTTGTTGTTGGTGGTGGTGGTAGTAGTTTAGTGATGTTCTGGGTCGTTTTGATGCTGAGTTGTTGATGAGTGGGTCTAGTGGGATCCTGTGATGATGGTCATAATAGTTGTTGGTAGTGTTATGAGTTGGTCGTTTCCCATTAGGATTGAGCGTAGGAATCATTTGTTTGTTTGTATTTTGTTTGTTTGTTTGTTTGTTGGTTTTTTTTTTTTTTGTTGGTTTTGGCAAGAAGTTATAGGAGAAGTTCAAGAAAGGAGGACAGCTCAGGACCAGGTGGTTTTTAGGCTGACTCTGTTTTCCCTTGGAGGACGACTGTGTCTCGAGTCCAACACCACCCCACTGTCACAGTGGGTTCACACTACCTGTCACATGACAGTCATGTGCATACATACTTCCCAGTCCGAACAGACAGCGCTGATCATCTCCTCGAAAACTTGAAAGCTCAACATCTCACAATCCCAAGACATATAAAGCATATCACAAACAGTACATATCAACCAAGAAGCCTCATAAACAACCTATATAGGCGGTGGTTTAGTCTATGCACCTGGAAATAAATCATCACTTCTTTGTTTCAGTAGTCCTAGGAAGAAACCATACAGCAATCTGCATTCTAATAAGAGATTGATCTGAAAAGAAATCATTTACATCTGTAAAATCTTTTGATGGTTCACACACAAGTTCAAGTTTTCTTCCCCCTTGAACAAAAGGGAGGAGATGAAAAAAAAGCGTCAAAAGGAACTGAACTTGGGGATAAAGATGTGTGGATGATTCTATAAATTTTATCTTATACTTTCGTATTAATATCTTTTCCGACAAAACAAAAGAAACAAGAATATAGGGAGGACAGGGGGGAAAAAATAACAACACATGAGAGAAATTGGATAAAATTAGATATCAAAGAATACTCTATGGAGTTTTGATTAACCTTCTACCTTGACGATCGGAGGGATTCCCATAGCGATCTTACGTGCTTGTCCAGGTAAATCATCGGAGAGTCCGAGCCCATCTTCGATTACCATCTCTTGCCATGTCAAGCCTTCGTAGAGATACAGGAGACCGAAGATTAAAAACAAGATTGCTCCCCCCAGAGTGACTAGCAGAGGAGAGGCAAACAGAAAAACTAAGTATGGCTGATTTTTTTTGGATCGAATGAAAAAAAAGCTCTCACTGACCGTATTTTACTGAGATTTTTGTAGCTAACCATCGACCTCCCATGACGGCGAAGAATGTACAGATTGCATGACCAAGAACAGTTCCCAGTGAGACGATGTAAACATTCTATGAGGAGGAGAAAGCGTTGGAGAGGAATGAGAGATCAATGGATGATGGTTGAGATTGGGAAATGTTATGGCAAGGGAAGGAGAAAAAAAAAGGGGGAGGGGGTTCGACTAAACATGAGCAGCAGCTAAGGCGATCGTTGAGATTTGACTACGATCTCCCCATTCGGCTAGGAAAGTCATGATGAAGGTTTGGATGAGGACGGGTGAGATGAGTAGATAGACGAGGTTCTTGAGTCCATTCTGTTTCTCTTGCGAGCGAGATCGTTTGAAGGAAGCCTTATTTCCGGTGAGCTGACGTGAACGAGCCGTAGGACGTGCTTCCTCCAGTCGAGTATGTTCTGGTTCGAGATCCTCGCCCTTCTCCCTAATCTCGTGTTCCAATTCTTCGATCTCCTCCTGCACCTTGCCCGTCCCGCCCTCCATCTCCATCCCTTCCCGAATCATCTTGAGACCAAAGACTAGAAAGAGTGCCGATGCAGCCAGGACGGTATACCGACGTGAGATCAGTGTGGGCAAGACGTGTCCCAATCCAGCCGAGAGGACCGACATGACCAGGAGGGCTAGGAATGCACCGGTGAAGACGATCAGTCGTGGGTGTTGCATCGCTAGTAAGGCAGCCAGTAGGAAAGTTTTGTCTCCGATCTCTGAGACGATGATCATAGCTGGTCATTGGAAAGAAAGATTCAGATAAGAAGTCAGTTTACTGGTCAGGTTCAAGGGATCTGAAGGATGACTTTACCAATGGCTCTATCCAGACCAGCCAGCGAAGGGAAGAGGACCGGTTGAGGTGGTAGGACGGTAGTCGTTGTGCTCATGGTGAGGATCGATATTGGAATGTAGTGACATAGAATTCGAGCTTGCTTGCTTGTTGTTGTCTCGTTGTTGTCTGCATTCAAACTTGTGGACTCCGACACTCTCAGTCTCAGCATCAAAAATTAAAATTAATGAAAAAGACCGAGTTTCTGACAATGCCCAATACTCACTACAAAACTACAAACTTTGCATACATAGGAAACCTTAGAAAAACCACAATGATAGCCATCAAACAAGCAAACACTGAATTCAACCCACAGGAACAACTACTCAAACGAAAACACCTTCAAGAATCAGCCCAACTGATTTCCAAGAATGCATTCCCTTCACTATCCACATACTTCACTCTAATCAGCCGACAACAACAAGCCCAAACAGCTATCAACCAAGCCACTCTCACTGATCGCCATCCACATCATCATCAATTCATTCACACTAGGATCAGATGGTGTGACAGATGTCTGGCCTCTTGCTCGATCAGCGTCAAGATGAAAACTCACCGAGTCCTACTCACCTGTCAAAGACCGACTTGTCGAAAACGGTTCATCCAACCTCTGTCAACTTGGTCGAGGTTGGTCATCCCTCTATATTAAAAAAGGATCGAATGATTACTAATTGATAACATCAAATCTGAAAACAACTGCAATCAACCAGGGTCGACCAACCATCTGAAAGCCTGATAAAGGAACAGCCACCACCGACTAATAAGAAACTGAAAACGGAGACAGAAACCAGCCATTCTCCCCAACCAACAACTGGAAATTCCACCTCACTAGAGAAGACCAAATCATCATCCTCCAAAAAATCAAAGAATCGACCTTCTCGATCAGCCTTGAACGATCTTCTGGCTCGTCGGAAACAGGCAGATGAGCAGGCGAGCTCTAAGAATAACTTACAAAACTTTTTGACTCAGTTGTAAATGAGACCTCTTTAATCAACCTGACAAAATCAATTTGTCTGGTCTGCCGCACCGATCAATTCCAAGGTTCAAATTTTCTTCATTGAATTGGCGTGATTGAACATGCTTATATGCTAGGGATATAGAAGAATATTGCCTTGGCAGATTCAACATAATGTTAATCATCATTTGACCATCAATAAGCAGAGAAAATGGCAACTAGGACATTGACAAAAGTCCAGAGTTAGGTGAAGTTGATGTCCAGTGCTATATTCAAGAATTAGATTGGAAAATTCTCAGTCAATCAATCCCAATTTGTTGAGTATCTAATCTCTTGAAAAAAAAGAGGTACTGGACCCTGGTAGAATGTCAATGGAACCAGGGCCAGGAATTAAACAGTTGGCCAATTCTATCCAGTTTTGTATACCCAAAAATGGGATCTCAAGGGATCTTTGATAACCATTTGACCATGTATAGAGGAAACAAAAATCAACTTCATTCCTCTTGTATTGATGTTGGCAACCCATCTGAACATCCACAAAAGTTTGGCCAAAAACATGTTGAGTGAGTTCACTGGTCCAAGCCAAAATGCGGCTTGGCCAAGCCTAAAATCCCCAACCCCTGCTTGGCAAATCACAAAGTTTTGGGGTTTGGTACAAAGGCTCCTATACTGATGGTTTTTACTTGTCCTGACCATCAAAGGGAGATTATTCCTTATAGGGATTCTTCCATATCTGTTTCTACTTATATTACTGCCCATAGAGTGTTATATGTATGGGCAGATTCTAGAAATGGAAGTATTTATCTGAACCAGATGAGTGATTTCAAAGCTCAGGAATACATAAATAAGGCTTACTTCATCTTCCTGAAGATATTCAAGGAAATACAAACATCTGACTAAAATTCAGATTGACTAATTAAGAAACAGGCTATGACAAAAAAAAGAACAGGCAGTAAGCCCAGATCACTTGTTTCTGAGTTGAAGGTGCCAAGTGATATGGGGGACAAAAACTCAAGATCTCTTAGCCCATAAAAATCTGTTATACATTTGGGGCTTCATATGAGTTGCTTGTAAGAAGTACCACACAATACTTTTCAAAAGATATACAGGGAAATCCCTTTTGAAATTTAATTCCATATTTTTTTCACATCTTGTTTTCCCAACTTCTCAGTTGCCATACATGCCTCTCCTTTCCTAGCTCATGATCAGTATTAACTGTATCTCATGTTTTTTCTCCCAGATACCTAACATTTTTATACATGCCACCGGAACCTGTTTTAATGATATACACTTGGCCCAGATAAGCTTTCAAAATTCACATTTGCATGATGGCCATGAAGCTAAATCATGAGTTTAAATTTTCACAAGCACTAAAATTAGGTTTCACATCCACATGTGGCACAGTCCCAAGCACAGGCAATACATACCAATAAACACTTATACATATGCTCTTATGTTTCTTCATATGATCAGTGCATTAGCCTTCCCAATACAATCTTTTCCAGTATTTTTCAATTTGTAAATCATCTGACACAGCTTACATCAACAATGGGTCTTTACTGTACTCTACGATATCCAGCCCCTTTTGTTATAGTAAATGTATGCTTGACCACCCGTTACTAATACCGGTACTAGTAAAGGACCAAGCCCCAAGCAACTAGTATAGTATTGAGGCACCCATTTTTTGGTTGCTTCATACAGATATAGTTATAGGTTTCCGTTTTACCCCTGGTTAACACAATAATCAACTCCACTAGGGGCAAAAGGCATAAAAAAGCCCTAAGTTGATGACAGCAGGCCTTCAGTGAGCTATCCCCTGCTTATATGTGGGACATAACCCTGATAGCATCCCCAGGACCCTTATCCCAGATACTAGAAGCAGCATGGCCTCACAAACTCCAAAATCCACTCAGAATGACCCCTCTGATGGTAAAAATACTGAAGGCTATTCTACTGATCACTCTCAGACTCAACGACACCGCTCATCAAGAGCTTCATCTCTTGTCATTGCACCAAACATGGTGGCACTATCATCAGACTCGCGGGTGAGATTAACACATCCGGCTCCTCACAAACATCCTGCGGGGGCAGAACGTTCATCCAATTCCGAATTGGCTGTTGAGATTCAGTCTTGTTCTGAAGACGACAGGGAAAAAAATAGGTTTTTCCGTCTTTGTTATTGCTCATGGGTCCATTTGCTCAGTAACAGAAAAAAATCCCAATATCTCAGTTATCGTATCAAAAGCAAATAAAACAAAAGCCACAAACTGGGATATTGTAAAGAAAAATCCGATACGGATTGCGGTAAAACCCGTAGGGTTATTGAGTCAAAAAAAATACTGTAACGGTACAATACCAATATCTGTAAAGTAAAGACCCATTGTTGCTTACATGATACATAATTTATCACACTTTCCAAATGATGCAATGCAATTCAATGTGTGGGCCACCACATTTGATGTTATACAGGTGCATGCATTGCATCATCACAGCATGATGTGATGCAATTAAATGTGTTGGCCACCACATTTGAGGTTATACAGATGCATGCATTGCATCATTCAAGTATTTACAAAGATGTATATGGTATTCTTGTTGATGATTTGTCACAGCTGGTTTTTCCCCACCCAGCCAAAGTTTAGTGAAATTTGATGTTGTATGGGATCCAACGTAGATCTACAATGCTGAAAATTTATGCAGCCCAATATCCAAATGACATCATGATAGTCACCAATCCTGATCTCTCATCCTAATCTTTGACAATTCAATTTTGGTGGAAAATTGAACCCAGAAGTCAAAATCAACCAATGATTTCAGGGGGAATATACCCCTCAACATGCTTGAAATGCCACCAATCTGGGGAATGAGGTGGAATTGGAGGGGGGGGGGGATGAGGAGTTTTGGGCAGACCAGGTTATTCTCATGAATAGCTGCAGTAAATTCACAGTTGGAAAGATGTTCCAACTTGGGAAGTAAATTTTGGCTGGCTTTGGCAGATTCAGCTATGGAACTTTCTCAACAACAATGCCTCCATTTTCCAAAATGCTGTTTATAGTTTTTGAAAAATACAATTGCCCTTAAGAAGAAGCCCACACATGTGGTCAACCCATGCATTAAAGATTCAATTCTTGAATGTATAGCTAAGCATCAAGATTGGGTTATTAAAATTATTTTCACATGACACATGGTGATTCCTGATAGGAAATTGGTCTCTGACAAGGCCTCAGACAAAGAAAACTTCTTCAAGGTTAATCTTTCTACGTGCCCCACATTTCTGTAGGAAATACTCAACAGGAATTTCACCATCTTCCAAACTTTTTGTGCAATGTTTTTGAAGAATTGAATTAAAATGAAGGCCACATGATCTTGTAATGTATTGGATTATGAATGGATAGCTAATCATCAGGGTTATGTTTTTAAATTTTAGCACTCAAATTTGAGTGCCACCAAAACTCCAAGTATTGTCACATGAGGATTGCCGACATGACATAAATCTCTCTGCTAAGGCCTCAGGAAAGAAGGACTTGGTTAAGTTTATTTTTTGTGCAATGTCTCATATTGAACTGCGGGGCAGTATTTAGTTCTCTGTGGCCATGTCACATTGTTTTGGAATGAAGTGTTTTGAGACGCTAATTGAATCATTTATCTGGTTTACAAATCAAACAAAACGTCACTCCTAGATCTTATCATTCTGAATTGAAGATTTTCTTGAAGATTTTCTTGTCATCTGGTTCAGCTTGCCTCTGATTTAAATCAGATTATTAAATACCAAGTAAGTCTTTGAAACTGTGGTCATGCTTTGATTTCTTAATTTGTGTGCCAGATCTGACACCTTGAATATGTCTGATGTAATAATGCCCACTTGTTTTCAAAAAATTAGACGCCAATTGGGAGTCTGAATCCAAGCTGAAATAGAAATTCCTGGGTTTATGTTGCTCAACACCTTTCTACCAAACCTCTGTCTTGCATATTAGTGTGTCCCGATATCTCTTTGATCCACCTGTGCTTTGTGCCAATCCATGTGCACGCCTCTAGAGTTGGGCACTGATTTTTATATCATTTACAACATGATCTCTTTTCTCCAAGAATTTCCTGTGGAAGCCAGATAGGAACCATGAATTTCAACGTAGTTCTAATCATGGCTGTAATCTTTGAAGGCTTGATGTTTATCAAGACTCATGGGCCTCAAGAGATCTTGCTATTCGACATGAGCGATTGGGACGACACACCCGCCATGAAGGAAAGTGTTCGACGAGAGCTGAGCGAAAATTTTTGGACCGATGCAGAAGAATCTCATCGCGGGGAGAAGCCGTTGGTTGATTACAAAAACTGGGGTTTGAGGGTCAGCTACAGCGGCAAACACGATGTAGCTTACATTACCAACTATGGGGATAGTGAGTTGCAATACTTATTGCGAGACGGGCAAGCAGGACGGTTCTTGAGGTATACAATCAAGCCAAACCAGCAACACAGAATCCCATTTGAAGCAGGCCACTGGCTCATGACCTGGATTTGGAACCCTCCCCGTAGCTAGTGTCGATTCAATCCCCTCCTCATGCATGTTGGAGAAGTGATTGGATGTCAAACATGCACAAAATCTTCACTCGCATTTTTCTCATCCTTCCTTGCATTAATATTTAATGCACAATAGAGAAATTATATACAGATCTCAAAAGGTCATAGACCCAGGCCACCCACAAGCATCAAAAAATTGACCTGTTTCCATATTTTTATGTCATTTCATTCATCAGTGCTTCAGAAAAAAGGCGCAGGATTAGTTAACCTCAGTCCATTGGGATAAATTGCTACGACCGCTGCTGGCGTAGAGTCAGGCCTTGTAAGTTGTGAAAGCACTAGTGAGAAACCTGATATACAATAAGGGCAACAGCACAGAATGGTGAAATCATGTATGCCGTTGCTGTTTGTTGGGAAATGATGAAAGTGGAATCTCTCACCGGGATTTATGAGTTTTATATACTTTATACTACCATCCAAGTCCCAACAGTCCAAGCATGCAATGTCATAAAGGGTCAATACGAATACGGAGCACTCTTGATGGCCTCACTCAATTTTGCATGATTAGCTGCGTCAAGTCTGAGATGTTTGTTGATCAGTTATACTTCTTTCATCTTTTTCTTGCCTTTCTTTGAGATGATCATGGCTCCCAATATACATAAGGAGAAACAAATGATTAAAGCGGAAAAGGAGACAATTGCCAGCAATCTTCAGTTTCTCGACCTTTGTCGATGGTTCGCCCTCCTGGATCATATCGGAACCCAGCTCGCCATCCGATTTTTTCCACCGTTCGCACCAAACTACGCATATGTCAATCTCCATTTCCTCTTAGTCAAACGTTGCTCTGCGCCGGTCCTCCCGAAATGAAAGCTTGAGTTTCTACTAAATTGACAGGAAACATAGAGTGAATCTGGGAAAGCTCCTCCGAAAGGCTACTCAGGAAATATGGTCTCAGTTGTCCATCTGTCACTTCGCTGATGAGGTTGCAACAAGTCTGGCCTGTCTTAAAGTTAAACCGACATCATGCCAAGCTCTGTGGCGCGGAATCGCAGAGCAATGGTTACTAGATCACCCCCATTATAAAGCGTGATCACTGCCTAATACCTCGGCCCCCAAATATGGCGCAGGGCAAGGATGCATCTGTTTGAATTTCTATTAGGAGTCTGCTATTGATCCGTCTCTTTCTGGGGTGTCTTAATATGAGCTGCGGGTCAATATTCAGGTCTCAGGCCATGATACTTTTGTTTTGAAATGAAGAGTTTTGAGAGGCTCTTGAGATTGTTGATCTGGTCTATAAATTAACCCCTACCCTCCCTGTTGAGACTGTTACATAGCATTCCAGAGTGGAGCTTTTCTTGTCATTTGGTCCAGTGTGCCTCTGTTTTAAATCAAATTATTCATTCCAAATTAGTAAGTCTTTGATGCTTTGGTTAGGGTTTGATTTTTTGATCTGACGCCTTCTATACATCTGATGTGATAACCACACACTAATAAGCTTCAACAGAAACTCTCCATATTTTGTTCGGCAAATACTTTTCTATCAACCCTCTTCCTCGCATATATCAGTGTGTCCCCATATCTTTTTGATCCACCTGTGCTCTATACCAATCCATGTATACCCTTCTAGAGTCGGGCGTTGACTTTTACACTGCTTGACATCACATCTTTTTTTCTCCCTATATTGAGGTTACCTAGTAGTCGGATAGATTCGCAACAATGAAGCTCAACAGAATTTCACTCATGACTGGGATTTTTAACGGCTGGTTGTTTATCCAGACTCATGGAGCTCCACAGGTCACCATATTTGACTTGGAGGATTGGGACGGCACGCCCGTAATGAAGGAAATATTGAACTTAATAATAGTTCACTTTATCTCTTTCTCTTATTTTAAGTTATGCATTCTTTTACTTAGCAGCGCGCCGCAGTTGTTTGAAACCTAGTTGATCGTGTACAAGATCTCTCACTTTATTGTATCGGTTCTTTCTTCAATCAACTAAATTGTTTCTGATTAACAACTCACTAACCATCAACATCGTTACTCAGGTTCGTATTTCTTTCTCTTCATGTTATTGTTGTTCAAGAGTTTAACCTTCTTTGTTCTCATCGTGTTCAGGTTGGTTCTCATCGTCGCTGTTTTCTATAAGTCGTATCCTTAAGATACTAACTTATACATCTCCTCAAAGATGTGTATTAAAAGAATTGCAATCAACTAAATTGTTTCTGATTAACAACTCACTAACCATCAACATTGTTACTCAGGTTGGTTCTCATCGTCGCTGTTTTCTATAAGTCGTATCCTTAAGATACTAACTTATACATCTCCTCAAAGGTTGGTTCTCATCGTCGCTGTTTTCTATAAGTCGTATCCTTAAGATACTAACTTATACATCTCCTCAAAGCTCGTTGTTCATTAGGTTATGAGCCCAGATTGTGCTTAAATCTGCAAGCCTAACGAACACGAATTTTTGAATACGCAATGACGGATGAAACAACTGTCAGCCATCTTCCACTTCTTACGAAAGTCAACTTTCAGAACTGGAAGAATGTCATGTTTTCATTCTGTCTCAGACAACAAGTCAATGCCCATCTTCTATCCAATCTTGTTCTTGGTGAGAAAGATGCTGTAGCCAAAGCGGCTTTAGAAGATAAGAAAGCGAATGCTTCTGGAATTCTTGGTGGTAATTTAGGCTTAGAAAACTATGCTAAATTCATTACCGACAAAAATGTCAGGGAACCTCATCTGATCTGGTCAGCTTTACTTCAACATTTTCAATCCGACTCATCTCAAAATCAAGTGGTCGTTTATCAAGACTTCTTAAAAATCAAATTCACTTCTACTTTAGAACAATTCATCAAGGATATAGATGTCGGAATATCAAATCTTTGTTTGGTCGGAATCAAGATTGTCAAGTTTGAGAAGAGCACTTTGGATGAAAAACTCCTTGCCAAATACGTGGTCAATCTCTTACCTCAAAGCATGGAAAATTCAAAGGAAATTATCTTCACCAAACTTCCTCTTGATCTAGAATTAACCAGAGAATATCTTAATTCAAAACAATTGAGTACAACCGGTATTCCATCGAACTCAATTGATTCTTCTCATATCAAGACAGAATCAGCAATGAAGACGATCATTGCATACTGCGAGAATGGACAACATAACGAGTTGGCTCATCACAGTAGAACTAATTGTTACCAACTTCATCCTGAAAAGGCTCCCGATTCCTACAAGAATCGCAAATCTAACTCCGGGAAGAAGAAAGCGAATGCTGTCGTATCCTTGGAAAATATCAGTGGTGTCTACGTTTGCGTCTCTGATGCTCAAGCCCTCTCGATAGTTCAAAACGCCTCCTTGATTTTTCTTGACAGCTGTTGTTCAGATCACATGTTTCCGGATAAACGAAACTTCGTCGACTACGAATCGGTTGAATCTTCTGTCAGTGTTGCTAGCGGTCAGTCTTTGAAAGTACAAGGAAAGGGCCTCATTCACATCAAGAATAATGATGGAGTTACCTTCAGCGTCAAAGCTTTGCATGTGCCTGGTCTTATGCATTCACTTCTTAGCCTGGCTCGTCTTTCGCTGAACGATTGTGATCTTCTCCGACACAAAAATTCTCACACTCAATTCTTTGTCAACGATTCTGCTAAAAACGTGAAACTTTTTGATGCTGAAATATCAAGCAACATCTATGTTTGTAAAGCAAAAACCGTTCAACCTCAAGGTCCGTCTAGTTCATGCTCAACATCCTTCAAAACAACTCAAACTGATTCAGCGCTTCTTCATAAACAGGCTGGTCATCCTAGTCGAGAAGCATTAGCAAAAATGTTTGGAGCTTCTTATTCAACTCTGGATTGCGTTTCATGTAGTCTCTTGAAATCACATCGCCTACCTTTTTCCAGTCATCTCCCCAAACCAAAACGTGTTTTGGATTATGTTTTCATGGATCTCAGTGGAAAAATCACTCCTCAAACACTTGGAAAAGCATCTTATTATTTCAAAATAACCGACGCTTTCTCCGATTTCAAACATGTGTATATTATTTCTGCTAAAAATCAAGCTCTAGAGAAATTTAAAGAATATTACAACGAAGTAACTTCTTTTCACTCTAAATCTTTGGTCAATCTGGTGACGGATGGTGGAGGCGAATTCTGTTCGAAGGAGTTTGAATCATATTTGAAGGAGAAAGGCGTCATTCATCATATCACTGCTCCCTATACTCCTCAGCAAAACTCGATTGCCGAGCGGGGTAATCGAACGACTAGTGAAAAAGCCAGGTCTTTGCTCAAGGAGGCAGGTCTTTCTGTTCATTTGTGGGGAGAGGCTGTTGCTACGGCTGTCTTGTACAAAAACATCACTCCGACAAAGAAGATTCGCTGGCAAACTCCACATGAAATATGGTTTGGTTCAAAATTCGATTATTCTAGATTAAGAGTTTTCGGTTGTCGAGCATTTATCAACATTCCGGGAGATAATAGGGTGGGTAAATTTAGTGATACTTCTAGGGAAGGTATCTTGGTGGGTTATAGACTGGGTATTCCAAACTGGAGAATACTTACGGCGGGTACTCGGGTTGAGTATAGCCATGATGTAACTTTCCATGAGTCTACTTTTCCAGGAATCTCCCCGAGTGACCCTGTCTATAATTTATGTGAAGATGACGTCATTATTGGAAATAATGATGAATCACCTACGTCATCGTCTGTACCTGCTGCGGCAGTCTCACCACTTGAGTTGTCTTCGACACCGGTAGTTGATGAAAATCCAACAATCAATCTTTCTTCTCCTCAAGAATCTCCTACCTCAACTACTCCTCTACCGACTTTACCTTCTTTTGCAAAGCCGGGTTACTCTTACGTTCCTAAAGATCAACCTGCACCCAAAAACATCTCATCGGACATAAACACCGATAACATTCTCACTTCCAAAAGACGAGCACATCTAGTGAATCAAGAGCTGACCGACGAACCGTGGTTTGTACCTTTTTTCAACAAAAGTCTTTGTTACTCCTCAGTTCTTGAAGCTGCCACTGTACCAAAAACTTACAAGGCGGCCATTAACTCTTCTCAATCAGCCGAGTGGACTGAAGCGATCAAAACAGAACTCTCAGCGATGGATCGTTTACAAGTATGGAATGTGGTGCCAATTCCTCCTGATCAAGTTCTTCTCGGATCGGTCTGGGTCTTTCGTGTGAAATTCAACGCGGCTGGAGAATTCGTCAAATTCAAAGCAAGACTTTGTGCTCAGGGAAGTGCACAACGTGATGGAATCGACTACACTGAAACCTACGCTCCGACTGGTCGTGCGTCGGCATTACGTTCGGTATTGACTTATGGGGTCAATAACAATCTCGATATCCATCAAATGGATGTCAAAAATGCCTTCTTAAATGGCACTCTGGAAGAAACAGTATATCTTCGAATTCCTCAAGGTTTTGATGCTCCACCCGGTACCTGTCTTCGTCTAGTCAAATCGATTTACGGTTTGAAGCAAGCTCCTCGGCTTTGGTACCGCGAGCTGCAAGCTTTCTTTGCTTCCATCGATTTCTTCCCTTCCCCAAACGATCCTTGTCTCTTCAAATCGGCGGATCCGAACTGGTTCTGTTTGGTTCATGTTTATGTTGACGATCTTGTCATAATCTCTCAAAATGTCGATAAATTCAAGACTTTAATTAAGGATAAATTCTTAATGGAGGATTTGGGTCCAATCAGTTCGCTCTTGGGTATGAATATAACTCGAGTGGCTGATCATTTGACCTTGTCTCAATCAAATTACATCACCGAGATACTCAATGAATTCAACTTCCCCCCACTGCCGTCCTGTTTCCACACCAATGGTTCCGAATACT